TCTCTCTCATGAGATATTGTGGCGCTTTGCCCAAATTCGCGAACAATTTTCTAACCTTGATTGGAAACTGCATTCCAGGTTTGAAGTATCTCGCTGTGTTAGTAAACGTTATACGATAAGGCGAAGAAGTGAAGAGTATTGAGTTTTCAATCGCTGTCTCTGTTATGCCAGTTGATTTCTCGGTTACTGATGCTTCAATGTGCAGTCGACATCCCTCAGGGAACCAGATGTCTTTATTTAATGATTCGATGGCTTGCTTTGTGATCGAGATCTGGACGCCATTCTTTTTCAGCTAAAATGCGAGAAACCGATATGACAATTAACTTAACATGTGATATTTAAAAAACGAGTAGGAGTGTTTTATCCACGATAAAACACGAACTACGAGTTTTTTAAATGACTTCTAAAACCCAAACCTAATAAACTACAATAAACATGAAATAAATAAAAAAATATCAAAAATGAATAATTGATGAAGATATCTCCATCTGAGCATGAGCAGTATAATCAACTTGGTTTCCCACATCCAAGCGCCACTATGTTTTAGTGTACTGTGACTCCGCAAATAAGTAATTTTAACTCGAGACCTAGTGAAGTTCTATGATGAGAGTCTAAAACTGAGAACTTTTCTAGTGTTGGGCATACATCGAGTTTCTGTAAATCAGTTACAACACTGATGTTTTAGAAATGAGTGTTATAACTAACTGAACCGGTTAGTTATAAAACTCATGTTTAATTAATCAGTGTTTATAACTTGAGTTATAGATCCTGTCATGTGACCCATAGTTGAATGGTCATTGGAAGAATGTCTAATGAATAATTCATGAGTTTTAGAACATTATTTATGGATATCGATGGCGGAATAGCCGTAGGTATTCGTGGTATAGTCGGGTAGTAGGCGTGGACTAGTCGTAAGTATTTGTGAAAAAGTCGTTTTGTAGTCGTGGGCATTGCTGTAATAGTCATGGGTATTCGTGAAAAAAGTGATGGAATAGTTGTAGGGTAGGTATAGTAATTGTGAACATTCGTGGAATAGTCGCCAAACAGTCGTGGAGAACTCGTGGGTATTCGGGGAATAGTCGTGAAATAGTCGTGGCGTTTCATAAGTCATGTGCGTACTGGTTAAAGCTACAAATTAAGACTGCAAATTAAACAATATGACCACAGATGTTTTGGTTTTACAATGTCCATTCGATAATTTCTAGTCAACAATCTACTATACTTACAAGTTGTCTGTATGAAGTGATTACAAACGGCGTTTGCTTAAAACCAACGATTTTAACGCGTATCGAGGCAACACCAAGGACAGGCCTGCCATACGTGGTCCTAATCAAATATTAAAAGATAAAATATATAAAACATACGCTTTTAATAACAATTGTGGACACAGTAGTACAGGGCACGCCATTTAGATAACTTAAGCGATGTGCCTTGTAAACTGATAAATTCAATGAGCATCGATATAGGAAATTTCAATGCCATTTAGTACCAATTAATAGCTAAGCGTTCATAAATTCATATAAGGTCTTACTCAGTTACCTCGCTGTGACATAGAAAGTGGGTTTCTTCTGTTTTGGTAGGATATGCGGTGGTCCCGTGATCTTGACGGAAAACTTGGGCAAAACTTATAAATCAAAAAAAGAAATCCAACACTGTCTTATAACTTTGTAAGAAACATTAGCCATACAAACAGATCTTCTTCGAAGCAAGAGTTATAAAGTGATTTAACTGTTGTTTCCAGCTGGGGCTGAAAATGTCAGTTTAATAAACATTCTAATACTACGACTTAATCAAGCTACAAATTCATGCTCACCATATTCTCTAACTTCAAACACTGTGGACGTGTTATAGATAACCTGTGAAAAAGACGCAAAACAGGTRGCGWGAGCGTAAACACATCCRAGTCCAAACATTATAACATCGTTTTATCAAAACAGGAGTTAGTAKGCTTACCAGTCCGTCGAAGTARGCATCTATAGTCCAGTTCCCTTTCAAGATGAATTCTCSAAGATGAAGATTCTCTGAGATGAAACCTGGTAAATTTTAGGAATATTTTAGGAAGATAAAAGCCAAACGGCAAAAATTGTGCGAACAGTTTTGATTGAAACCTTGGGCGGGACTTTATGCTTTTCACATAAGTTTGCAAATTCAACCGCCGCGCCGTCGACCTCGCGTGTACACTGCATGCACCGATCTTTCTGGACGCTGAAGCTGTTGCTCTGTATTTGATATAATTTGTTTAATCGGATAACTAACCTGTATCAGTGTTGAGGTTCTTCCATTGTTGAACCCGTATTCCTTGTGGATTCTGTTAACATATCAAATAAACTGCTACGTCAACGTTGGCTTTCAGATACTGATCAAATTGTTTTTCAAAAAAATCCTTGATTAGTTATATCGAATTCAAGTGCCATTTAAAAAGGATTTGAACATAAAATACTCTCTTATATAAAATAACAGTGAGAAGTAGCAGCACACTTTTTGCATTTGGGGCTGATATACTTCAATTATACATCAATTGGGCAATTTTGAGAATACTCTAGCAGTGCACAAGAACCGCTACCTCTTCTTTTTCCTCTTCTTCATAACCTTTGGTTGTTGTTCTAGGTCAACTCATTATTTCTCCTCAATTTCACTGAACATATAGACTCACCTTAACGATTATCGTTAGCTGCAAAGAAGAAAAAACAACATCAATCCATTGTTCCAAGAATTAGTATTATATTGGTAATAAAGTKATATTTTTTCACAATGTAATCAGACACTGTATAACTGGAAAGCTATGTAGCGTCATAGTATGTCTTGCTTGTTCATGAATTGTCTGGAAATTGTTAGTATCAATCCTAAACCTTTTCATGGCTTGAAAATGACAGTCATGACAAACTTTTTATAAATTTCAAAATGGTTACTCAATGTACCTTCTTTTTCGACGGGAAGAGGTTGAAGTCGAGAGGAATGACACGAATATTGACTAAAAATTAAACAAGAAAATTAGGAAAAAAAGAAGTGAATTTTATCCGTACGTAATGGCCCTGCTTGGCCGGGCACGAGGACTAGAGAGGGTCTC